CCAAAGCTGCCGGTAGCTGCTGTGGATTGCTGCTTGCTGCAGCAGATTGTAGAGGCTGTAGTTCGCCGGAAGATGGCCGCAAAAACTACAGCGGTACTCAAGACTACGGTTCGCTGCTGTGGATTGCTGCTTGCTGCAGCAGATTGTAGAGGCTGCAGTTCGCCGGAAGATGGCCGCGAAAACTGCAGTGATACTCAAGACCGCGGTTCGCTGCTGTGGATTGCTGCTTGTTGCAGCAGATTGTAGAGGCTACAGTTCGCCGGAAGATGGCCGCGAAAACTGCAGCGGTACTCAAGACTACGATTCGCCGAGAAATGGCTGTGAAAATCTGCAGCGGTACTCAAGGAAACTACAGTGAGAGAAATCTGCAACAATTAGATGTATAGAGGAAAGCGGCAGCGAAAGTTGCTGTGTTAGAGGAAGGAAGATGCAGCAGTTGCGGCTGCTGCTGGCCGGGAAGCGGCCAGCGACAACGAAGGAGGAAGACGCGGCAGCCGTCGTTAAGCAAGGAAGACTAAGCGAGGAAGATACCGCCATTCGTCGTTCGTCGCTATTGAGGAGGAGAACACCGTCGTTAAGGAGGCGCCATTGTGTAGAGGGAAGCGGTAGCGAAAGCTGCTGCGGTAGAGGAAGATGCAGCAGTTGCGACTGTTGCTGGTCGGGAAGCGAGGAAGACATCGCTGTTTGTCGTTCACCGCTATTGAGGAGGCAGTGAGAGAATGTTTTCCTCCTTGTGTGATGGCGACGGAGAGTGTCTGCTGTAGGTAGCAAATAGGAGAGGGAGCAAGGCCGGCGAAGAAAGCAAGACCGGCGATGAAGGAAGAGAAGAAGTGGATGAGTAGAGCCAAGACGGTGCTCGTTAGCACTGGCTCTGAATCCGTGTCTTGTGCTTCTTCAATGACTTCGCTTGAGGCAGCGTGTTACTGTGGTCGCTTGGCTAACACACGACGATACTGCTGTCGCCAAGGAGGAACTGCTATGATACCATACCATGTTAGATAATAAATAGATACCATACCATGTTAGATAATAAATAGATAAACAAGTGTAGAAGAAGAAGTTGATTATTATTAACATATCCCCTTCGGAGAAGTTTCCTCAACAGGTTAGAGGATTTTCCTCAACAGAGTACAGAGATTTCCTCAAACAGTTAGGGAAATCTCATCTACTTATCAATTATCAGTCTTTCCCTTAACCAACATTTCACCTATCCAACAGCAAGTGGTATTACATGTCCTTTTTCAGAATCTTATGCAAATTGGATCATTGATTGGGATTATACAACAAGGAAATAAGTTCCTTTGATTCAATACTGGTGTTTAGCATTATCCACCTTATCACTGGAGGCACTCTTTTCAGAATTCTAAAAGGGAATATTATAATTTAAATCTTTAAAATAATCTTTTTAAGTCCATATTGATAGGAGTCTCAGTGTACTTAATTTTGATTAAATATGACGAAAGATATGATAATTTAGTGAAATGAATATACTTATATTTTTTAAATATATTGTTTTGAAAAATGAGACGAAGCTTAGAGTTATGCACTTACTCTCAAGTCAGTCAAATTTTGTGGAAATCTTACAACCACTTCAATAACAACAGACAACCAAATTCTGATCACAAATAAAGTTTAGACCTTTGTCAGTTGAATTTGGGAAGCTCATTATGTTTTTTTTATAATAAAATTATGAAGACTAGATGTGATTTTAAGATCATATTATCAATAGTAAATTTTTTTTATCAATTAAATTAGTGTACACATCTTTAAAATTTATTAAATGAGAATTTGGATCCTCAAACCATAATATATGAGTCTAGTTTATAACGGTTGATAAGTCAAAATTTTATTATTATTGGTGCAAAGACTCATAAAGAATTATTCATTTTTGGGTAAACTTACATAGTTTTATCCTTTAGGGATGAGCCCCAAAAAAGATAAAGGTGATATTAGAGTCTTATAAGCCCTTGATTCCCTTATTTCTCAATCAATATGGGATTAAATATCCTTATTAGTGCCTCCTAGTAAGGAAGCTGAGGGCTCATGACCCTTCTTCTAACGATAAAATATTGTCAATAACTATAAAATGTTGATTTATCATAATAACACTAGAATGAGCGTAATGAGTACTCCCCTATTTAATAAAGACATTTAGTTCTATATTAATTAAGAAATAAGAAAATCAATGAATTATAAATATCTAAAAGGGCAAAACTATGTGAACTCACCCAAAACGAATAATCGATTCGTAAGCTTTTATATTCACGATGATAAAATATTAACTTATCAAATACTATAATAATGATAATTTAGGTATATCATTATATTTCATGTACAAATGATCATCCCTAAAACATATTATTTATAATCCACAAGAGCTAGCTAATTAGTATACACCTTATATCAAAGATGTGGTAGTAAAATTAGAGAAATATGTGGAATGAGTAAACTATTTATTTTTACTGAACTCTGAAGAGACTTATCACTCATGGTGAGTTGGACTAAGACGGGCAGGCTGCTGAGAAGTAGTAGATCTTACCCACCTGTGGGGAACTTGATCTGTAATCCTACAAAGCTAATAATTGCAGTCTTTTTACTTGTTTCATCAAGTGGATTGTGCCATTGCCAGATGAGAGCAAGTGTAAAAGTGCAATCTTACAAGGAGCAACAACACTTCCATTCCACTGAATCATTGACCTTAAAATATCCTCAAGAAAAAGCAGATTGAGCTCACCAACCAATATAGGATGAAAGGAACAATAACGAACAATAGATATTTTAAATAATTAAGACTTACGATTTTATCGAAAGACGACATCCATTAGCTTTTGATAGGATATACCGATGTGACATACTGAATTCACATCAATGTGGTGTGAAGTCCTAATTGACGAAAAAATAACTACAAAATCACTCCCACTTATTCATGATACTTGGGATATCGTAAAAGTGGAGCACTCATATATGCATCATCGATCTTTTGTTGAGTTGAGATCTCAATCAAACCGTGGTTGTGATCTCGAATCTAAATTATTGTTGTCGGCAGGGACCAGTTCTAAAGCGTAGGACATGCATGATGCTGGGCCTCAACACAGATACCCCACCTTCTCCTTCTCCTTCACCCATGAATCATGAGACTGCATCTGTACTGCAAATTACTCCTTCAAATCTGCTTTTTGCTGGACTGAGGCCTCTCAAAATCTTCTTCGTAAGTCTCTGCCATTTTTGTTCTCTAGTGGTTTCAGCAGGTCCATTGTACAGCAATTACAGCTTTGTCAAAGCCATTACTTCTGCAGCAATCACAGAACAGCAAGACAACCTTTTCCTTCTGACTGCAACATCAGTGCACACACAACACTGGCATATATTTGCCAAGAACTCTATGTTGGAGCACAACTCTTAGAACAGGAATCTGCAATCAACAACTTCAAGCGGAGGGGCTTTCACCAACAGGACATCAGTTCAAATAAATCTCTGGTCTTTCAACCCCATTGGATCATGTCATCTTGGTTACTCCTTGCGTTCCTTGTATCATACGGAGATCCGATGACACATCACATCATTTGTAAGTTGGATCAATATCATTCAAGGATCGAGACAGAAGGTGACTCGACACTGACATAATAACCTATTTGATCGAGAAGACAACTAATTATGTATGATTCGACGGACGATCCTACCACTCAATAATAGTCAGAAAACCCATATAATTATTTTATACATTAACCACTCAACAATTACCTCAACATATTATAAAGATACTTCAAGTATATCCTTGAAATAAAAAAAAAATTCTTAAATTTTACTACATTCTAAGTCTTCCAAATCCATTATTAACTTAAGTATCAATAAAGTTTTTATCGAGCATGTCCTCGATATATTTTTATAGGATATATAATTGAATTCCTATTTTTCTCAATACATCTATTTGCATCAAGTGCGAAAGTTGACGTAATTGGATTCGAACTCTCTTTAGGTGGAATCAAAATCTGCTATAAAAAAAATTACAAAGTGCCTTTATGTTCTTGTGCATCACCATGCAGATATATCCTATTACAAATAATTTGTTTTCTTATTTTTATGTGGTAAGTTTTATAGGATACAAGTAGATTAAAACCCTCATGTGGCAAGATAACAAATGTGGGAAATACATAAAATTAAATCACATTAACAAAGAGTAGTATATTTTATATAGGACTCACTCCTTCATCCAGAAAATTTAGAAAAGAGAAAATAAAAATAAAAATAATTTTTTTTCTAAATAGTAAAATTAAATTATATTAACAAGTACTAATACAATTCTAATCATGATCATCGAGCACAACAGTGCATATAGATCAGCTGATCAATTAGCATTTCATAATCGATCTGACCTAAATGATTTTATTTAAGTGACTAATTCCTTCGTCTACGAGAAAACTTTATCCACATAAATTTTTATATGATAATAATAAGTTTCGAAAGGAATTGATAAGACGCCAAAAAATCCTCCTCTCCCTTAAAATAAAAAAAAGATGAATTTTAGCATCAATCAGTCACATGCAAATTAACTTTAACCATCAAAGTGTACAACCTGCAGTTTCTCAAATTATTAAATAATAAAAATAATTCAACTATATATGTGTTATATACATTAATTTTAACCGTAAAATCAATTAAAGAAAGATCGATAAAGATTTATTTTTGGTTGAAACAGGAGAAAAAGATTGATGTCATTGATGATTGTATGAATCAAGTTGACATCGTCTTTGTATGGGGATCTTGCAAATCTATTTCGTCTCTGTTGCTTTAAAAATAGCGTCCGCTGATCGGACGGTCGAGAACCGAGGGAGACGTGTCGCTTGGTGGATGGTGCACATCGTAACGGTCTTAACGGCATTCCCGCCATGGGTTCCCGCCTAAAGACCTGCTCTCTCTCTCTCTCTCTCGCTCTCTCTCTCTCTCCGCCTGCTACCCCTTTAATTCCACCCTCGAAGTCCCTCTTCGCCCCTGCTTTCTTTTTAGGTCTCTGCCGCTCTCTCTCGCTCTCTGCGAAGAATGGATGAGGAATACGACGTCATCGTCCTCGGCACGGGCCTTAAAGAATGCATCCTCAGCGGCCTCCTCTCTGTCGATGGTCTCAAGGTCTTTCCACTCCTTCTATTTTCCTGATCAAGAATTACTAGCTTCTGTGGCTTCGATTACTTCTGATTCAGAAGTTAGATTCGCTCTGTTTGGTCTGTGAACATCGTTGAGATCTAAAATTTTGGGACTCGCTGATTCAACTTCTGGTTTTGCTGTTGTTGGGTTGGGGGGGTTCTTGATCTGTGGATACTCCTGATATCTGCTAGATGACTACTCTTGGAAATTTGCCTTCCTAGGTTGTTGATGATGCCAGTTTACAAATAAAAGGAGGAGATCATTTTGTTAACTGACCTGCTATTTCTATCTGTACTCTTTGCCTGAAGTTCTAGATCTCTTAACTAGATAGGGAAGTTCCAGTAAATACCAAATTCTGAGAATGTTGCTTCCGACAATTACCATATGAATTCATTTTAACGTATCTGTAATGTATTTTTTTGCTGATATTACTGAAACCCTGTTGTCACTGTAGAGAATTGTAAGACCAAGGAGAAGTGTTCTTTTACGATGTAAATCTATTGGTGAAACTTTGGACAATACCTTCCCACATTCTAGAATTAGCATCTGGATTTCTCGAAATCAGGAACCTAATTCCAATCTCTTTTGCCTTCGGTGTTTTTGCTGTTTCGTTATTAAGCTAAACTGGTGGTTTCTTGTTCTTCCTTTCAGGAATCACATCATTAGTGGTTTTTGGGATGTTTTCCATTCATGTGTTTGGAACCAAATATTGTGTTATTGATACATTTGTTATTTACTTCAAATGTTATGCAATGAATATTAATTTAAAGTACACATGCAAGGTATATACTAATTGGTCTAATTCACTAATACTTAAATGGTTTTAAATTCTGAGACAGGTTCTTCATATGGACAGGAATGACTATTATGGTGGGGAGTCAACATCTCTTAATCTCATTCAGGTTTTTGCCAAAGCATTTCGTTTTTAGTTAATATCATCCAACTATCATCGTTCTTTTCTTGGCACTGAGTATCACCTGTGCATTTTCTTGCATTTTTCTGATCAAATAGCTCTGGAAGCGATTCAAGGGCACTGACAAGCCTCCAGAACATTTGGGCCCAAGCAAGGAATACAATGTTGACATGGTCCCCAAGGTGTGGTGTAGTTTTTTGAACTGTAATGGTACAGCTGTTATTTGATTGGTATTTTTCTAGTCTTATAAAAATGGGATAATAAGTGATCTCTCATAAATGAGTATATCATAGACAAGTTAGAATCATTAAAACTTGCAGTTTATGATGGCAAATGGTGGTTTGGTTCGTGTTCTCATCCACACCAGTGTTACCAAGTATTTGAACTTCAAAGCAGTCGATGGTAGCTTTGTGTACAACAAGGGGAAGGTGCCAAACCTGAACTGTGATCTGCCTACTCTTCTTCTTGTTATCTGTATCTGGCAATAATGATCCAGTTCGAAATTCTCATGCTTCTGCTGCTGTTCTACCAGATTTACAAAGTGCCGGCAACTGATGTTGAAGCACTGAAATCTACACTGATGGGACTTTTTGAAAAACGCCGTGCCAGGAAGTTTTTCATTTATGTGCAAGATTATGAAGAGAATGAGCCAAAGTCTCATGAAGGAATGGATTTGCATAAAGTTACTAGCAGAGAAGTCATTTCGTAGGCATCTAATTTTTGTTATTCCAAGTCCTTTTTCGACAAACTTGCTTGGATCACACTTAATCTGATTTCATAACTATTTCATATGCTAAGTTACAATTTTTCTATATCAGCTTTTATATATAATCTTAAGCATGCTGCAGTTGGCCATCTTGATGATCAATCGATGCTAGTGTTTGTTACATAACCTTCGCAGATATACATGTTTTTGGAGAGCATTTTCATGCTTGGGTGAGATAGTTATTTTATAAAAAATATACACAACTTTAGTTTGAACAAGAGAAGGAAGCTTAAAATAACTAGAGACACTTTCGAGTTTTATTCATGAACAGTATGTTTAGAGCCTAATATGTAGAAGAAAGTATGAGATATAGAGAATGGAGCTTATTATTGTTGTAGATTTAACTTCACACATATTGCTCTTGATTTGAACTTAGGCATGTTAGCAATGGTAATTTTTTTTCCATTATTTAGAAATATTATATCAACAGAGTTGCATAGTAGTGCCACTGTCTTAGACTGATACCTCACTAAAAATATAATGTTACTATTTGATATGATAAACATGAGAGAAAAATGCATTTAGAATGGAATTTATGCATTTTCATCTTCATAGCAGATGGACAGTGCTTCAAGTATAACAACTATGAATCACTACATCTTATGGGGATGGGACATCCTCTTATTTGGAAGACAAGAAAGATTTCTAGCGCATATTAATCTTGTCAACAAAGGAAATGCATGTAACAGGCTCCGTTTTCTCTATAGGGGCTACTTATTCAACTCTTTAAGTATATAAAGAATCAAAGTTAAATAGATTTGACATATTAAGATTGCATTATTTGACATATTAAGATTGCATTCTTTGGTGTAGCAAATATGGACTGGATGACAACACGATTGACTTTATCGGGCATGCATTGGCACTTCATAGAGATGATAGCTACTTGGATGAGCCTGCAATTGATACTGTAAAAAGAATGAAGGTAAAAGCATTGTTTCTTACTGCACCTGAAAAATAAAGTCTCAGTTTCTGTTTTGCTGGCGCGGACATATGATTATATATTCAAGCTCTTTGGTCATGGTCTTTTGTGAATCTATTGCTCCTGCTCATCTCATGCCAGTCTACTCTAAATTACATCCTCTTGGAGCTGTGAGACTACTGATCTAAATATTCATGTGTTTGTTTCTTTTTCGTTCCTGGGTCTTGGCACACACCCTTGCATTTTCATCTATTTTGATCATTTTCTCTGTATCCATTATTGGAATCATTTGTTTTTATCATCGAACTCAAGAAAATGGCCAATTAATACAATTCACATCTTTCTATCTACCAACTTAAGCAAAAGGTTACGAAGAAATGGATTCCTGAGGCATTTTCACGCTCATGTTATATGGTAGCAATGCACAAGAATAGATTGCAAACTCACATAACCTTAAGGAAATGACTCCAAGTATGATGGACTGTTCAATTTTTATCCACAACTTGTCTTTCTACTGAAACTGACCTTAATGAAGTGAGTCAACGTATGAACTTGTCTTTCTACTGAAACTGTACTTTCTCATCATCACACTTATTTTGAACAGCTGTATGCGGAATCATTGGCACGCTTTCAAGGAGGTTCTCCTTATATATATCCTCTTTATGGTTTGGGAGAGCTTCCTCAGGTCTGTCTTCATCTCTCACCATGGCAGTTTTTCATGATGATTCCAAATAAGCTGATCTATGACAAGCCTTTGTTTACAGGGATTCGCTCGTCTGAGTGCAGTTTATGGTGGCACCTACATGCTTAACAAGCCAGAATGCAAGGTGACAAACTTTCATGTGTTTTTTTGAAGTTAGCTAATCACCGTGCGCATGGTTGATTGGATTCTGAAAGAACCAAACAACATATGATGATGTTCTGTGTCCTGCAAGACAGGTTGAGTTTGATGAAAATGGAAAAGCTTATGGTGTGACATCCGAGGGGGAGACTGCTAAATGCAAAAAAGTAGTCTGTGATCCTTCTTACTTGCCAAGTAAAGTGAGTGCGGATCTCTATCTGTCATTTTGCACATAGTGAACCCTTGGCCTCTAATTCAGAATATGTGTAACAGGTAAAAAAGGTTGGTAAAGTAGCTCGTGCTATATGTATAATGAGTCATCCAATCCCAAATACCAACGACTCACAGTCGGTGCAGATTATTCTGCCCCAGAAACAACTTGGACGTAGATCAGACATGTATGTTTTTCTCAACTTCCTTGTTTTTATCTCTGCATCATTTACTTCCAGGTGTAGATTCTAACTCTCCTGCTGATTACAGGTATGTGTTTTGCTGCTCTTACACACACAACGTTGCTCCGAAAGGGAAATATATCGCTTTTGTTTCCACTGAGGCTGAAACCGATCATCCTGAGACAGAACTGAAGCCTGGCATCGATTTGCTTGGACCAGTAAATGAGACCTTTTTCGATACTTATGATAGATATGAACCTACAAACAACCATGAAGAGGACAGTTGCTTCATATCCACTGTACGTAACGTTTCATAGTTTACTATGTATCTCGCAGAAAGACTCTTGTATGGAACTTCTAAATCATGGTCCCTCTTTTGCAGAGCTATGACGCCACCACACACTTTGAGACAACCGTGGAAGATGTCATCTCCATGTACAGAAAGATAACTGGAAAGGTAACTTCCAACTCTTTAGGATGAGTTTTAAGGTTACTAACACAAGCTGCAAAAGGATACACATGACAAGTTTTAGAGAACGCTAGATTACTGGCATTAAACTGTTGTAATAGATACAAACATGTCATCCTCGGTTTTCATTAGGCTACACTGAGAACCTGCAGTAGCACCAGAAACATTAATAGAACTATACAACTAACCAATTTGTTGGCTTCTTCATGGCACAGGAACCTGATCTGACTGTGGATCTGAATGCTGCCAGTGCTGCTGCAGATGATGCTTAGTTTATTCCTCTCCATGGATGCCCCTTGAAGAAATCATAGCCTCACTATTTCATCTTGTTTGCATTATTTGTTCCACAGTAGGAAATTACATTACTCAGATTTCTGCTCTAACGCATTTGCATAAACTAATTTATTTACCCGAAAATATTTGAATCATGGATGGCCCCAATCTTTTCCATTAAGTTCTGTGCATCCATGGAGGTCAATTGAGACTCCAAGGATCTCAAACTAATGCAGCCTTCTCTTGTGCAGGATATCGAAGCTTTATCTGTCATATAAGAAAAAGAACACTGCCTGTATAGCACACAATATAATTTCTTTAGCTTTTGCATGAACTTTTTAGACAACACATCCAATAAAGGTTTTTTCCATGGGAAAAAAAAATCCATTTAATCTCATAAAGAAACCAATTTCTGGTGATTCTTTTTTTTTTTTTGGCATGTTTAAATGGAGAACTCTGAAAAGTTCCCATTGTTTAATTTCACCACAAGTAGGGACTTTATTGTAAACGTCCCTTAAAATTGCAATATTCAAAATAAACACCTTATATAATTTTTTTACTATAATTATGTTTATATATATATATATATATATATATATATATATATATATATATATATATATATATATATATATATATGGATAATGATAAGAAAATGAATGTAAACTTGTAATTCATCATAAATAATGGGCTTATATGCAAAAGTTTCTTTATTTAACTTTGATCCGTTGCTTTCCAAAAGTAGTACGCCCCTTTGCACCACCGCCGACCGGATCGGCCGGTGCCTATGTCGGAACCCTAAGTTTAATCCTCCTGGAAGACGATGAGGAAGCCCCATGGCGTCGTCGACAGATTCCCGATCAATCCCAAGTGGGTGGTGCTCCTGCTCGTGATCCCTCTCCTTGCGCTCTTTCTCCTACTCATTGGAGCCCTCGGCCCCCTCAAACCCCACAATCCCTCCGATCTCGGCCGAGCCTCTGGCGCCCTTCGACCGCCGAAGCCCCCGCGCCTGGCCTACTTGATCTCCGGAACTCAAGGCGACGGTCGCCGGCTCAAGCGGCTCCTCCAGGCCGCGTACCACCCGTGGAACTTCTACCTCCTGCACCTCGACCGCACTGCGCCGCCCGAGGAGCGGGCCGATCTGGCGACGTACGCCGCGTCGGAAGCCACCTTTGTCCAGTTCGGCAATGTTCGAATGGTAGAGGACGCAGATCCGGTGTCGCAGAAGGGGCCGACCATGATTGCTTGTACCCTCCATGCGGTGGCCATTCTGTTGAGGGAGTTCGAGGATTGGAGCTGGTTCATCAATCTTAGCGCCGCGGATTACCCTCTGATGCCCCAAGATGGTATTTTTCCTCTCTATTCTAAAAGGAAAAAACTTCCTTTGATATGCCTTCCTTTCTTTGATGAGGTCGTAATTTTGGCAAGGTCTAGTTGGTCTCGATGCCCAAATTATTATCTTTGGGCTTCAGAAGATAAAAGACAGGAACTTGATCCAAAATAAATATCTCGAATGTTTCCATCAATGGCTTTCATGTCTAAATTCTTTACTTACTGCCTCCTTTTTCTATTGTATATGCAGATATTCTTCATGTTTTTTCATACTTGCCAAGGGATTTCAACTTCATTAAGCACACAAGCGATATTGGCTGGAGAGAGTAAGAACATACATATATGGTTGTGCGTGTTTCACTTTAGGGAGTTCGACATTGTAGTTGTTGTTGATACGGTGCATGCAGGTATGAGAGGGCAAGACCTATCATCGTAGATCCAGGGTTTTACAAGCCAAGTAGAACAGACATATTTTGGGCTAAAGAAAAGAGGAGCATGCCTTCTGCTTTCAAAATATTTGCAGGTACTTGTTACCCATTTTTCCAACCATTTTCCATCTGACAGGGTTACTTGTTTTATATACTATTGTCGAGATGTTATGTGCAGCCTCCAATGTAGAATATTTGTTCTGCCTTACTACTATTTTATTTCATTTGGTATATTAAATGTGCCCTGATTTCCTATTTTCCTGCATCATTGACCATTAACCAGCAATTTGTTTTAGTTACGGCAAGTTTTCACATCCATGGTTTGGCATTTATTGAGTTAGTTTTATCCTATTCCAGTGTTAAGTTTGCAGTTCAATAGTGGAGTCTTTGACCTGAAACTGAAGATCTCTATAATTTCTTCAATTTGTACCGAATGGTTCTTTGATATCATTCAAGTATAGCTAGTCCATCTCAATGTATATTGACAAATCAAAGACAGCGTAGCAAGTGAAGCCAAAATGAGGATTTTCCTCGGTAAAGGGGGTTGAATAAGAAGTGTGTGCATGCAGATTTCCGTAGAGGGGATTACATGTGAATCTTCTTTCTCGCACATCCTAATAATATTAAACCCATTGATTTGTGTCTCACCTTTTTTACTTTTTCATGAATAATCCTTCCTCACAAGAAAGTTCTGAGGAAAGCTGTATCTTCCACACAATGAAATAGTTGTATTTCTTTGGTTCATTTTAAAAATTGCTTGATGCAATTGCACAGCTTCCATCTTGCTATAATTAAGTTCAAACATGAACTCGGCTATGCGCTTCATTGTTCAGTGTCCATAGACAGTGTCTTAGTTGTTAGTTGTAGTTTGTGAACATAATCGTCTTTTGACAACGAATTCTAGTGATCAAGTTACCTGTTTGATGTGAAGATAACTTGTTTCCAATGAATTTCTTGAGGATTCTTCATGTTTTCTATGGATATTCTTTTTTTGTTCCTTTTTTTTATAGTCCTCTATATGTATCAATTGTATTTATAACAACCAATATTATGAGGTCACTATTTTCCCTTGTTACCGAGTTGTGGTATGATGCTCTACAATGACTACAAAAATGAGTTTCAGTTATTTGTTGCCTTCTTATATATACTTATATGCTGCATTCTTCTGTTAATTTATTTTTTGTTGAATTACTTTCAATTGCTTGTATTTGATCTTAGGCTCCTCATGGGTGATCCTTGCACGGCCTTTTCTTGAATTTTGCATCTGGGGATGGGATAATCTCCCCAGGACGTTACTCATGTACTATACAAATTTCTTGTCATCCTCGGAGAGTTACTTCCATACCGTGATATGCAACTCCCAAGATTTTCAGAATACCACGATCAATGACGATTTGCGTTTCATGATGTGGGACGATCCACCACGTTTGCACCCAATGAATCTGACATCAGAGCATTTCAATCTGATGGCAGAGAGCGGAGCCCCTTTTGCACACTCTTTTTCTAGGGAGGATCCTGTTCTTGACAGGATTGATGACGAGTTGTTGCAGAGATCCGCAGGTCGATTTACCCCAGGTAAATGGTGCTTGGCAAATCCTGAGTTTGGCACCGATCCTTGTTCTGTCCGTGGAAGACCCAGCGTCATACAGCCGACAGTAAATTCCAGAAGGCTGGAGATGTTGTTGGTGAAGCTTCTGGATCCCGATGATTTCAGGCCTAGGCAATGTATATAACTCAACAATGTCACACACCAATCTTGTAGCTGGACACATTCACAGATCACAAGGCAGCTCTTGTTGTAGGTATTTTGTAAACTGGAAAGGCACAGAAAACATCTGCTGTTTTGATGTTGATGGTTTATAGTTAGTCCTCTTTCGTGGTAAAGATTGTGTATCTATCGGATATCTGATCCTCGACACTTTGGTGAACATTTTGATGTACAATTTGCTTATGATTAAATCAATACATGTCCTATTCTCTCCTCTGAAGCTTTCGGGAACACGCAATCATTCTTTGTGTGTATATCCTGTAATTGCTTGAGATCTATGTTATTGGTATTCCGAGTATCACGAAAGTCGATTTGTATGTGGAACTAAAAGCCTTCTTTTGAATAAATATTGCAGGATCCAAAGGTGTCGGTTTAGCTGGTAAACAACTGCTGATTGCAAGGTCTTCAAATTGGCGATTGTTCTGGAATGTAAGTATTGCTTGCTCCCTTGCTGAGTTTTTTCGTTGATGCTATTTGTTTGTCTCTTGACGATGGTGAAAGAAGAACAGATTTCTGTAACCTAATCTTGTTGAGTTTCTCCTAGTGCTAATTATTCGTCTTTAGGAACGACATAATTATAACGTCTTTCATCACATCAAAAGTGAATGTTGAAGATTTAAATAAACTTATACGAGTAGTAGATGAGGTATACTACTATTAGCATAAAGGTTAAACATTTTTAATTAGTTTATTAAGATAAGTTAATGAGTTAGTAATCATGGCAAGAATGAATGCTCACTTGTCCATCATTGCATGTGATTCTCTTTCTTGTTATCTGACATCTGTAATATTGCAAACGACTGCATGTCGATATTATTTCTATTAGTCATTCTGAAATGGTGTAACCAAGACAAATTGGTATATGATTTCACTGGTGTAGGCTTGCGATTCGGCTAATTATACTTGCACCCTATTTGTGATCAAATCTTTAATTTAGAAATTTATTTTATTTTCTTGTTTGCTATTGTGATTAAGAAAATAATTATTAATGTCATATTTGTTAGTATATTAAATAAAAATTTATATTAAATAAATACGAAAATTAAAAAAATTTCTCACCTCCTCCTATTTAAGAGGAGGGATTTATCTCTTCTTTCTTTATGAGTCATATTAATGAGAGGTAGGTTTCAAATATTTCTTCAAAAATAAAAGTTTTTTTTTCTCCTTGATTCTTTTAAATATTGGAATTTTATTTTTAGGATTAAAATATGTTATAAGTAGTTCAAAAATATTTCTTAATCTTTTATATGTCAAAATTTTATTACTAGATTAAAATATGTTATTTGAAGTTTTAAAGATATTCTGTGATCTCTTTTAAGGTTTTTATTTTTGGATTTATTCATATTGAAATTATTTATATCATATGTATTGAATACATGATATCCAATTTTTATATTTGAATTACGAATATTATTTTCTCGTATTACATTTTATTTTTTAATCTTATTTGGATTAAAATATGTCATAAATAGTTTAAAAATATTTCTTAATCCTTTAAAGATATTCTTTGATCCTTTTTAAGGTTATTATATTTTGAATTAGAATATATTAAAATTATTTGTATCATATGCATTCAATATATGACATCTGATTTTTTTTATTTGAATTAAGAATGTTATTTTCTCGTATTGTTATTTATCTTTTAATTTTATCTTTTAATCTGTTGTTATATTTTAATGACTTATTATTAATGAATTTATTTGTTTGATAATAGTTTCATAATATTACAATTCAAAATTAAAAAAAATTAGTTAGGATTTGGGTTAAAATAACCTACAGGTTAAGCTCAATCAATAGGCTAAACCCAACCAACAGGCAAGCCTAACTAGTAGGCCAAGTCCAACAAGTATGCTAGGCCCAACTAATAAACAAGACTTAGCGAATAAGCCAAGCCCAACCCGTAGGTCAGGCCATAACCCATAAGCTAGGCCTAGTCAATACGTCAAGCCAACAAGGTAGGCCCAACCCGTAAGTCAGGCTCTAGCTCGTAGGCTAGCTTAGCCTAGCCCAACGTGGGTAGTAATGTGCGATGCACATAACTAGCCCATGAGTCATGAGTTGGCCTAGCCTGATATAGTGTATGTACAGTCATGTGTAGTGCATATGACCAGTACATGGGCTGCCCAACCTAGCCGAGTATTATGCAGTAGTTGGATTTGAGTCTAAACGTTGATTGAACCAAACCGAACTTGATTAGTTTAAATCGATTTGTGATAATTCTAAATTGGTTTGACTTATTCAAGTCTATTTAAACTAAATTGAACATAATCTAATCTAAATTATATTAGTCTAGTGGTTCTAGACTAGTTAAATGAGGATTAAAGATTGGTTCAGCTAGTGTTTAGTTAAATCGTATTCAATTTGATCGATTGAATTAGGGTTCAACTCAATTGAGGGCTAATTAGTATTATTTGACATTAATGATATTTAATTTTTTTTAATATATTATTTCATCTCGATATAGATATGACTAGTATGAGATGATATTATTTCCCTACCGAGGACAAGTAGGACGATTCTCTTTATGGATTAACGAGTCGCCAAACATGGAGGTTGGACGGTTTCTTCGGCCATTGGGAGGAATGTATTCCCACTTTGACAAGTGAGGGACACAATTTCATCAGTTGTTAGGAGTGCGATATGAGTTTGTCTCCATCCGCTGTTAGGAGAATACAAACTCATCGTAGGATTTAGCATCTTAATTTGCTATTAGGGGAGTGCTCTTTCAGGCATTTGATATACACCAATCGGATAATTAAATTATGATCATATATTTATTTTTTTAATTAACTTATAGGAGTTCCTATTTAGTTTTGTTGAATTTTTTTTATTTTTGATTTTTAGAATAGCCTCCCACTAGAACTAGACCCGATTCTAATATTGCTAGGTAAAGCTACTTGGATGTTTCTTTGAGTTAATGTCACTGTGTTATTTAACAAAGCCTAGGGCTACTTTTGATTTATGATTCGATGAATAAATAAATTATAATAAATATTTATAAGTTATTAATAAAGTGATATTTATTTATTTGGCTTTGCATATACTTCGTGGGAAGATGTTATGATCCTGTGAAAAAAAAATTCAAGATATGACATCATTTTATGGTATTAGAGCAAACATTATATTTAGGCATGGTGAGGGGGCTTGAGTAGGAAAGGGCTATCCGTGGATAGAGTCAAAAGATTCATCATGATGTGGAGCCACCATTGGGCTACAAAACACATGCATTATACTAGGTTTTGATTTGGGCTATGCTGGGCCTTGACGAGGACGTTAAGCCTTGAGTGGGAGAAATTGTAACACCTCGATTAATCCCATATCGGAAGTGGGCAAGACTAAGATTGACTTATAAGGGTTTGATGAGTATATTATTATTAATTTCAGTTTAAATATTTTGGCTAGAGCTACATAAGGTGGAAATAATATTTTGGGACCACCTATTTTTGATGTTGAATATCAGATTTTGATAATGAAATCAATTGCTTGTAATTGATTATGTTTGGATCGAGTTAGTTTAGAGTCTACTTAGACCAACTCAATTAAGAGCCAACTAGGCCTAACTTTAAACTATGTTGGACCAAGTGGAAGGCCAAAATAGTGACCCAATAGGTAGAACTGTCGTGACACAGTCTTCCTGCCCAAACACAATCTCCAAGAAACTATCAGGCCTAGTTGAATCTCAGATTTTTTATGTTGAATCTCAGATTTTGATGATGAAATCAATTGATGTGTTTGTCATGTCACTTATAATTGATTATGTCTAGATCGAGTTAGTTTAGAGTCTACTTAGACCAACTCAATTAAGAGCCAACTAAGCCTAACTTTGGGCTATGTTGGAGCAAGTGGAAAGCCAAAATAATGACCCAACAGGTAGAACCGTCGTGGCACAGTCTTCGAGAGACTATCATGTAGTGGTACTGCCCAAACACAATCTCTAAGAAACTGTCAAGCCTAGTTGAATCTCAGATTTTTGATGTTGAATCTCATATTTTGATGATGAAATCAATTGATGTGTTTGTTATGTCGCTTGTAATTGATTATGTCTGGATCGAATTAGTTTAGAGTCTACTTAGACCAACTCAATTAAGAGCCAACTAGGCCTAACTTTGGGCTTTGTTGGACCAAGTGGAAGGCCAAAATAGTGACCTAACAAGTAGAACCGTCGTGGCATAATCTTCGAGAGACTATCAGGTAGTGGTACTGCCCAAACACAATCTCCAAGAAACTGTTAGGCCTAATTGAATCTCAGATTTTTTATGTTGAATCTCAGATTTTGATAATAAAATCAATTGATATGTTTGTCATGTTGCTTGTAATTGATTATGTTTGGATCGAGTTAGTTTAGAGTCTACTTAGAGTAACTCAATTAAGAGCCAATTAGGCCTAACTTTGGGCTATGTTGGACAAAGTGGAAGGCCAAAATAGTGACCCAACAGGTAGAACCGTCATGGCACAATCTTTGAGAGACTGTTAGGTAGTGGTATTGCCCAAACACAATCTCCAAGAAACTGTCAAGTACTGCCCGTACCCTGAAATCTCGGGGATTTGAATTTTGATTCCAAGTTTTGAAGTCATTTGGGGTCTATAAATACCCCAGCTATTCCTGCATGGAGTAGCAAGAAAATTAAGCAAAACTCTATGATGCTAAAATTGTAAACCTTATTAAAAAGTTGAGTTCCCTCCTCCTAAAGCTTAGAGAGAGTTCTAAGGGAGATGTGTGAGGGAAACTTTGTAAAAGAGGAGTGTAAAGGTTGTCTCCTAAACTTGTGAAAATGAGAAGGTGTAAAAGGGTAGTTGATTTTCACTCGATCGAAAGAAAATCGTTAGTGGATGCCGGTGGCCTCGACGAAAGAGGAATCGGTGGAGTGGATGTAGGTCACGACGACCGAACCACTATAAAATGGTTTGCATTTCTGCTTTGCTATTTATTATTGAATCTCGTATTTTGATGATGAAACCAATTGATAATTGTTTATGATTTAATCTACGTTTTAAGTGACGTAGGATGCTTCGATTAGGGAGAGACAATTAAAGCAGGAAGAATCATGTTGAGCCAGAGGAAAAAATGTCAGAAGATTGGATGTCGAGCCGGAGGATCAGTCGACGTATCGACAGAAGGCTTCGGGACATGGATTCGGGCATCAGGCCAAGAAGAGCGGATATTACGCCAAGGATATCGAAGTTACGGAGGTCAACTAGCCGATTAGGCAATAGGCT